TTGTTCGGTCGATAGGCTTGGTGTACCCAGATTGTACTCCCAGCCACCTCCGTGTGTTGTCCAATAGCTGCCTTCCACCACGGTTCCCTCACTGGTGGCACAAGCACCCGCAACGTCTAAGTATGAGAGCAGCGATACGAGGAATGGTCGAAGCGGGTGATTGATTTCAACGAGGCGCTTAGCTTCTTTGTCCGGGTCGTCATTAGGGGTGAAGAGTATTCGGTAGATTTCTCGGGCTCCCTTGAGATGGATAGCCCAATTGTGATGTTGAGAATCCATCATCTGATTAGTTAGCTTTGTGTGCTCGTTATGCCCAGGTCAACAACAAGGGACTCACCTCGAACAGTGACAGCAAAAGACAGGTGGCGAAATCCGTAAGTCGCACGCTGTGGTTGGGGTCTGTATATCGGGTTCTGAAGGACTTGACAACCTCGCCATAATTGCTCATGGCTTGTTGGAAGTGCTTGTTTCGCTGTTGTCCTCTGGATGTATTGGCAAGGTGCAACGCACCCATGGCTTGCATAGCGCTGGCCATTGAGGTTGAGGATCGAGCGAGCTCAGGGAAGAATCTTCGGTAGGGATTTATGTTGTTTGAATTATCATAGATGAGGAGTAAAGTAGAGACTTGGTCGACGAAATGAGTGTAATACCGGCCTTCGACGCAGTCCAGTGACGACGATAAAAACTCGGCGGGAGAGATGGGTTCTTGAAAGCGATATTTTATGGGCTTCAGGTCGGACACAGTTGTTGGAGACACAACTAATGTTTCGAAAGGCTCATTCTCGTCTCCTGCCGGCTCCTGCTTCACTTGCTTGTCCCCTTCGCTCTTGATCTTTTTGTCGCATTTCTTGGCGGTGGCGGGAGACGAATCCGCTTGCGGCGGTCCGTAGACTTTGAAGGTCATACGACCCTGAGTGCCATCACATTCCAGGCCCAGGCGTGTACAGTTTTTGCAGGACGGCGATGCTTCGTCGCAGCGGACGTGGCGTCGACGACATGTCGAACAACCTGTAAAACCTCGGTGATGCCATCGACGGACCCGCTTTCTCTTCTCAGGCGCTGCGGCTGCGGAAAGCTGGGGTTGTGCGGGGGGAAGAGGTTTCCCCGGCGCACAAACCAACGTATGAACCTCCATGTGTAGGAGACAATGCTAGATACGAGTAGATGATGTGGGGTAGCGACATGAAGGTGAGTGAGGGGCGGAGGTGTGTCCGACCAGAGAAATTCGAGGTCAGACGGCGGACGTCGACAGTTAAACCATCTAGGAGAGACCAATGGTGCGTCAGGAGGAAGTCCCTGAAATCAGAAAATCACTAAAGATGAGTAACGGGCGACGGGACAATCCAATGGAAGTCACAAGGGTGAGCGAGGACTTGAAAAGGATGCCGAAGCACTGGCGATTAGTAGCCGTAGTAAGAAGGTAGATGAACTAGTAGTTAACGGAGAAGCAGTGGTAGTTGACCACTAGTTACGTTAGTAGATGATGATCGGATTATTAAGTATGGGGGGGCAAATTGAGGGAGAACCAAAAGAGGAGGCGGCGAGATGCTGGAGCCAGTGGGGCTCCAGACGGTCGGGCATTTGGGAAATTTGGGGGAAAAGCTGAGAATGGGAAAAAAAGAAGGGGGGGGGGAAAAGGAAATGGCGAACTGAACTTGAACTGAACGGATTACTGACCACTTTCGCGGCTGATCGAAGATAGTCCCGGCCTAGCCATCCCACTCCCTCTCTTTTTGCAGATCATCCACCACTTCCTCCTGTTCGGTGTATCTACACCACGAGGGAACTACCCTCGAGAAAATCTACTTCTCCTTCTCCTTCTCAAACGACTCATCAGTCTCCCGGTGTTAAGGATATTCCTCTCCTCTGTTTCATTTCCGGCTGAGCGCAAAAAAAACCGACGGGCGCTGCTGATCGACCCTAGTGGTGGATCATATTTTACTCTCTAGTCTCTACTCAGTCTACTGCACTTCCTGTCTAATGATCTGATTTCCTTCGGTACCTCTCTAAGACTCTAACAGCTAAGTAGACTAAATGGTCTGGCGGCAGGATAACCTTTTTTTTCTGCACAAGAAAATCCCGCATCGACAATCCGTCCAATTGCGAAGAGCAGCTGTGATGGTACCTCGAAACCTTCCGAGCGCTTCCTACATCGAGTGGCCTTCCTTCGTCTTCCAGATCCCCACCCGATCCACTCACGATGATTGCAGTAGAGTGGAAGAGCCACGATGCAGCATGCGGAGGGGGGCTGCTACTAGTCTACTGGGCGAATCCCGTAGCCAGAATTCTCCGCCTTCCCCCCTGACCAGTGGGCATTGGCATCTGATAATTAGTAGCGAAGGAAATCGCTAGAGTGACCCGGTCCAAAAGGATTCGCCCAGGAGCCACTAACTCCCGACTATCTCGGTTGCCAAGCACCTGAATGGAACCTTCTCGCCTGCCACTTTACCGGTTCTAGCGGCCTCCTCGTGCCTTTTTATTCGAGACCATACTTAAGTATGTAGACTGGGGATGCCATTTCAGTATCTTCCCCCCCTGTCATGAGGATTCCGTGGTAAGCTCAATCAAGTTACCCGGTTTGAGGGTGGAAACATGATTGGGCGTGTTGCTGCTGGCCTGCCGAACCATGCAATGTCTCAGTTTGCTCGGCCTTTTCACTCGGTCAACAGGAAACGAACGCTCAACGCCCGTGGGCTCCCGAGTGCTCCTGCAAGTAGATGACCCCTTGAAAATCTCGTCTCCATGTGTGTGTGGAACGGGTGGTCCCGCAGCCCGTGAGCTACTGGCAGCGTCAAACGAGAAATTGAAGGCAGCAGAGATGGCCCTGCACATCCGATCACCAGTCAGCTCATTTTACACGCAGATCATTGGTGACGTTGCTAGAGGTCTGTGTGCCACTGGGAACCCAGATGATGGTCGATGAGAACTGGTCTGTCTGTGGAGTGGTTCTCCTGGGTCATGTTCCGTGGATCTGCCAAAATCGAGGAAACTGGATGGGACTTGACCCGACCATTCGCTTAGCTGTAACTTTTTTGACGCCTGCTGACGGTCTAGTCAATCAACTTGGCAGGCATTGTTCCTCGCTGAAAATTTTTGGAACACGTCTTGGTATTGCGATATGGCGCGCAGAGCTACTCCTTCGGGATAAACAATGTGTTGGACGGTTTCAGTTTCATGTCGCGGCGGGATTCCGAGCACAGTAAACTCAAAGCTACAGGAGAGCTAGGCAACATGGAGGCAATCGGGGGTAGATCACCTCTCAGCCCAGACCGTTAACGAGCACGCACTCTGACAATATACACGAAAGGCTGTGTATTTGTGGGAGGTACCAAGCGCATACAAAGCTGACAGGCCAAAGTACCTACTGATCCAGCATCAATGCACAGTCTAGTCGATTTGTTCCCGATTACACTAATAGACATTACAACTCTGTAATCACACGATCTTGACGGTGACATGGAATATATCGTCGAACAGCTGGATGCGTTTATCATGCGATGTTCGCATTGTCATGCCCAAACGGGTGGTCACCCACTGCGCCATTATTTGGGCTATATGGGATCAATGTCCATTTGTTCATATGGAAATATGAGTGGGGGGCCTGGCATAAGCGTCGCATCACACCGATGCTTCGACGCAGGTTCTAACCCAGTTACTGCGCTCAGGTAGGCAGATCTCATGCAAGTTGGATGGCTGTATGAGGATAGTAACAGGTTGACCGTTTACATTTCTCGGCCGATTTATGATTGACTGTCGACACATCCTGAATTTATCCAGTGCCTATCCTCTACTAACCTGTCTGCTAAAAAATAGCCTCTATGTACTACTCTATAAACGGTGTGTGTTTCATTCATACTTGCAGTGGCGGAAGCTGACCTGTAGCTGCCTCCCATCCTGGTCCGTGTGAATCCCTGCCCCATGGTATGATCCTTTCCTCCATTGTGGATATTTGCCTTTGCTTATCATGCCTAATAGCAGTTGTTGTTACCGTATCGTAGTCAACCTGACGTCAAGGAATCGAGTAAAATCGTCCGTGTCTTTTCTGATCGGCTTGCGGCACCATAGTGCTAACACTATATATCCTTCCCGCAACAAATGCGCATCAAAGTGGCCCAACGCCGTGACTAACAGCCACTATACAAAAGCAACGCATCAATAGTTGCTCCCAGCAACGGAATTCTGATCCATCAAACTATAATGACCACCCAGTCTTCTTCCACATCCCGTCTCCTTTTCGTCACCCATAAATAGCCGCGTGGCAAAACACCCAACCTTATTATACCAATACCATTGCTTCAAATTAACTTAAAACCCCAGTGACTCGCTGTACCTGCCTCGCATGTATACGAAAACACCAAAAGAATAACCCAGGTCCTGAGTAGCCATGGGACATAAGTGAAGCCAAGAGATCGGCTTGCCACAATGCCTTGAAGTCAGGATGGGTCGTACCGGCTAGAACAACGCCGCACGGCGGGAGTAAATGCAATGCAATGCGCACCTGTTAACCTACTAATAAAAGTGAAATAGTACGGATACGGGGCGCCTATCACTATTTCCCGTAGGCCGAGATCTCGCCAGCAATCGGCAGGTTAAACTCGATGTCAAAACCTAATGGATAATCAATCACACGCCCGGACATGCATAGAGCACCTAGTACTCCAAAGCCTTCCAACCCACCATGAATCCATCCAGGCAAATGGATTACATAACAAAAGCCCGGATGGTCTAGTGGTATGATTCCTGCTTCGGGATTTGAAATGCAGGAGGTCCCGCGTTCGAATCGCGGTTCGGGCCCGTAATTTTTTATCTTGTTTATTTGCTCACTGTCACATGACTTCGTACATGTGGTCTTCGTTTGCAGTTGCCTGTTTTGTGTGTGTCTGTTGATCTCACTCCCACCACGACGGATAGATAGATAGACCTCTGTGGCAACCCATAATCTACATGCTGACGCTCGGCTCTGCGTATGAGACATGCTCAGCAAGATGTTTCATAAGTTAGCCCGGATGGTCTAGTGGTATGATTCCTGCTTCGGGTTTTGAAATGCAGGAGGCCCCGCGTTCGAATCGCGGTTCGGGCCCTACTTTTTTTTGCCTTTTTTTCCGCCTTTTCGAGGGACATGCGACCTAGTTCGCCTACCCCTTTTCCTTTCCTTTCTTTTTGCAAGCTGAAGCTGGAAGTAGTCGTTCAGTGCACTGCCACACTGTGACAGTTCCTCGATGAGAATATTATGAAGTAATCCAAACTCTATATACATTATTCGTCTAGAGCAGGCTAAATTGCATTTGTTGCAAGTCGTGCCTGCCTACCTACCTACCCTGCTGGTCCAATTTCATGCATGAAACCTTCATCTTGCGATTTAGTAGATATTATATGGCCTTTTACGCGAACCTGAATAAAGCTCACTTCTTCGCTCTCACTTGCTAACATCTACCAACCGTACCATGTCGTGTACCAGTACATTCATAGTATATCATGCTTCCAGGTGACTGAATCACTCAGACCTTGAGAACAACTAGTTAACCAGTGTCAAGGAACCTAAACCGGAGTGGTATAAGCTCTTCACATGCAAGTATCAGAAGGTGCCAAGAAGATCAGAGACACTATCCATTTTAGTTTCGAGTATGGTCTTGGCCTGGCCAGAGAGAGAGAGAGGGAGAGTGGGTGAGAGAGAAGATGGCAACATATCTAAAATTTTCATGACAATCTCAGAGCCCAGCCACGATTATCTCCATGTGGGCTTAGACACCTAGGTAAGCACTACGTTCGTGTTCGTGTTTGCTTTAAATTCACCTAGAAGGGACGGACGGGATGATCATGCAAAAAAGGCTTTTTAGACTTTATGTAGATAGGTAGACAGGTGAAGGAAGATGAGTGGAACCACGAGATTAGAGAAGGAAAAAAAAAAAAAAAAAAAGTTGAGTGGGTATCTGCTGGCAAACCAGAAACTCAAATTGCCCGCCAGAAGTAGTAGTAGGAAATTAACATCAACATGCATCAGTGATCGTGAGAAGATTGCAGCGCAGGCCCAGGTGAGAAAGTAGACAGGGAGGTAGGTAGGTAGGTAGAGTTAGCCTGTTGCTCATTGCTCAGGCCCGAGGACTAACTGTCCTTGCGTAGATGGTAATCATGTCCAAACCGGCAATAATTTACAAGTAAATCCATAACGAGAAGCGTACCACAGATTGAATGGACTGCGGGAGGTGAACGATTGATGATTGGAAACGAACAATCCCTTCCAGACCAATCAGGCGTCCACAGATACTGTCGGACCAGGGATGGGGAATGTGGCCGATTCCCTGGCCTCTGGATCTGGTGATTCGGCTCCTGTAGCCTTCCCATTCATTCGATCGAACTCGAGTGTTTCAGCCAGCTCTGCGGCCATTGGATCCAAATCTTCCTCTTTGAGGCCGGTGGCAAGTGCTACCAACTTGCGATGGACATCGAACTTGGTGCTTACACCCGCATCGGCTGTCTGTTGGACAAGATCCTTCACGGCTGCGCGCCGAGCCTTTTGGGCAGAGCACAATTGACGAGCCATAAGGTATGTGCGACGTAGTTGGTCCTGGTCAGATCCTGTATCCCCCTTCTCAGGCACTGGCGTTGAGGCGATCCTCTCCCTGAGTCGAGCCTCGTGGATTTGCTCCAAGAGTGATTCGTAGCTGATTTTCAACTGCTCGTAACGATCAAGCTGCGTGTCGATTGACTCTTCTTCGGCTTCTTTCGCCACCAGCATACCGACCTGTTTCTGGATCTTTTGTCGATCCGATTCAAGTTGCGCATACAGTGCCTCCGGGTTCGCAACATCGTCTGAATCTTGCTGGGTTGCCTTGGAGCTGCCATAGCTTGCGGTGAGTTTCTTGTTCGCTTCGGACATAATGACGGCGATCTTAGACATTAATGCCGAGGTAGTAGGGGAGGAGTCCTGCGGAAGGCTGGGAAGCAGGTGATCTGATGTAACAGGTGCCTTGATGTCCGGATCCAATTGATCATTGCCCATCGTAATAGACGAAGGGGGAAGAGGGACGTCGCGCTCATTAGGTGGTACTCGTCGGACGATAGTTGAGGCTGCCTCGCCTTTGTTGTTTATAAGGTCACCAGCTCGCGGACACCGCGCGAGTAGTAGGTCAACCAAGCGAAACGCGCCATTTCGAGCGGCAATCAGAGCAGCAGTGTCCCCATTCTGATCTTGACAGGACAGCAATAAATCAACTTCCTCAGCCGAAAACGTAACGCGTAGCTTATCTAGCAATACTTCGCAGTAATATCGCGAGCTCTTCCATTTTCCTTTGCTCCGAGTAGTTTCTGCTATGTGGTGAAATAGAGTAGCGCCGAACCAGTCTCGAAATGAGACTGTGTCCAAGAGGAGTTCTAGTAGCGGTGGAAACGTCCTCTTCTCGTAATTGTTCGTGAACAGCACGGCACGCACGAGGGGTGTCTCCTCCTGGTCAGATAGTGCTCTGATATTTGCCCCTCTCCGTAGTAGATCCCTCACAATCTCCAGGTCACCCATGGCGCATGCCCAATGGAGAGCAGTATTTCCAGAATCGTCAATCGCGCGGTCGACCTGGAAGTTGGCTGGCGGTTGTGGAGGAGGAATACGTGTCGCTTCCGGAGCATCCCCTACCGTCATGAAATAATCCAACAGTTGATCACCATAGAGTATATGTTCCTGTTCACTAATAGAGATTGCCGGAGCCTCGTTTATCCCACGCTTGCGCTTCCGTGAATATGTACCATTCTGAGACATTACCATAATTTCTTCATCCGCTATCATAGACGATGACTCAAGCGTTGCTTGTTCTAAAGATTCATCCTCGTCGAATCCTTGGCTCATTTCATAGGGCTCATAGGGTGGATAGGCGGGCGGTGCCATACTTCGGTGCGGTTTTGGAGCAGGGACAACTTCTTCGGTTGCGACTCTCTTGTTTGTATTCTTTGGGGCTCTTGGCTTTGACGAGGCTGCAGTGGTATGTTTCGGGGCAGGTGGTGGACTGCGATCTCCAGCGACATAGTCGAATATCGGCCTCAGCTTGTCGATGATGTTGTTGCGCTCGGCGAGCATACGGCCCTCGGGAAGCGGAATCCAAGTACCTGCATATAGTTATAGCGCCGCAATGCGAGGCGATATTGGGAAATTCTGGTCTTACCTTGATATTTTCCATAGCCACCTTGAACCTTTTCATGGACCCCTTTCTGCACCTCGCGTTCTAGGATGCGAGTCCTCGCAGGCTTGTCAAACCCGGCAACTTTCAGAATATGTGTAGCATTTATCCAGTCATCGGAACGTCTTCGCATGACACTGTCGCCATCGAGTTTGAACTCATAAACCGGGACCTAGCCACAAGTGTTAAATTGCTGTTGTAAGCCTCCTTACGGTGTTGTTCAACACGCCTCAAAGGACGAGGTTTTTGCAATACCAGAAAGGGCAGAATGAAGGAGTACTCACACTGCTATAAGTAGCAGAGTAAACTTTGGAGAAGTCCACCGCCGCCATGATGCGCCTCTTGTAAGCCGATTCAATTCTGCGAGTTCCGTACGATAATAGGATGTTTCCGAGCGGCGTCGCGACTTGGACACAAGGACATAAAAGTCTGAACTTGGCTACCGCAAGGCATCAAATTTCAAAATTGCCTGTTGCCTTGGTCAATCACATGAATCTCAGTGGAAAGCGAGCTGGGTTCGTCGTAGCCCAGCAACATCTATCTCAACACGCGACGGATGGCAGGGCTGGATAAGACGCGCTCCGGGTACGTTGACCGCGTAAAGTGGATTTGGATACGCTAAACCTGTTGTGGAACCAATAACACGTGATATCACATGACTTATCGTCCGGAAGGAACGACGACTGCGGATAGCTGCAAACCTCACAGCCCAGTCGCCTATCCTTGGAATAACCTTCAATTGAGTCACCCCCTCGTGTCAAGATGACTGCCGTCGAGTCTGTGAAGAGTGCCGTTGGGCTTGCGGATAGCACCGGTATGTAATTGTTGCCATTGGGGTCTGATGTGTCGGAAGGCAGTGGTGTGAAAGTTGGCACCGGATGATTAACGATTAACGCTTGACTTTAGCTGCCTCCCGCCAGGAAATGTCGGATGCTCGTCTTCCCCTCCAATACCGCGACTCTTGCGCAGGCCTTCTGATCCCATTGAACCGCTGCCGCCAGCAAGAATACTACCTTCCCTGGAAGTGCGAGGTGCGTTGTTTTCACTCTGGTTTATTCATGGATTCCTGTTCATCTTGTCGTATTTATAACTAACGCCATGCCTCTTTCCACCCAATAGGACGAGAGACACAGCTACGAGAAGTGCCAATACGAGGAGTTCAAGAAGCGTGTTGCTAAGATGGAAGAGCTCCGCGCCGCTAAGGGTGGTGCCCGGAGCAACTAATGATACCACAAATATCGGCACGGCATTCGAGACGAGCGAAGGAGCGGGTTATGTACATAGAGATTCTGAGATTGTTTGTCCATGCACCGACATTGGCGTTGGGAATCATCCAAGACTAGGCTTGCCATCACCACACCTGCGAAGACCAGAACGGTCGATTGGCTAACCAGTAGCACCAACCGTACTTTTGGGGTTGTTCGGCTTCGACGCTGCTTGTGAGGTCTGGGGGTTGAAATCATTAGCAACCCTCGAAAAGACAGCACAGGTTTCTTCAGGCCAGAAGGGACTCAGACCTGCCTCACTTTCCAACTTTGCAATATAATGAGAGCGATGATTTGTCAGGTGCAATTACCATGATATTTTGCGACTTTGTCCGCGAGTGCCATGAGATCACACCTCAAGGGCAGGCAGATGCAAATTCAGCCATGGCGCAACACCCTGGAGACAATGATGGGTTCGTAAAGAGCTTCCAGTATGCTTCCAATTGGTCATGACATTCTTCATGCATCTTTCCGAAGAACTACATAGAGACGAATGACCATCTATATTTATCTGCTTGCCCTCCATACATATCGGCCGCCGCGGAGCAACTGATAGTAGATATCACATGACCTCTAATCCCTCCACGCTGCTTAGAAATCGGCGGCATTGATAATCACCGACCACTGCTTACTGCCCCGCCCGGCCTACCAGAAATGGGGGGAATAAGTTTCCCGGCCACCAATAGGCGCTTGAGCCTTTGTACCCGAAGGTTCGACAGAATTTCTCAAGGTCGGCAGGGTCAGCAGTTTGTTCATATTTAATCGATCAGTATCTGCTGCCCTTGTTGTTTGTGTAAAGCCGTTCCGGGCGTGTCTTGAAGTCACGACATTGCGTGCCACTGACGTTGGCTTATTCTGCCGTGGTTCGGAGATACTGCCGGGAAAGTTCCCCTCATCTCCGCGGGGTTCTGGATGGCCTGACCTTCGAACTTTTACTTCACCCAAAGCCACAGGAAAACCTTGGAACCTCAGACTGGAATTTGCAATCCAAAGTTCCAACTGTCTGGTGTTGACAACATGGGCTTGCTGTAGGTGGAGCGTGCTGGGTCAAAGCCGGATTTCATTGATGCGCAAAAACTAACATTGGCCGTTCCTTCAGAGCGCTTGGGACGGCTTTGGACTGGCCAGAAGCCAAGAAGAGAGCGGATCAGGTTCGCAAATGGGGAATTGAGGTAAGAAACTGATCTTGTGTTGAATTTTCCCAATCATGTACTCTAGGTGGGGTTCTTTTCTGACTGAGATAGCAATTACTTGCCAATTGGCATAGAGCCAAGGGAAAGGAACGGAATGCCCTTCTCTGGGGTGACGAGGTAAGTCGCAATCTTCACATTGTTCTGTTTCAATGTTCGCTAATTGCTCATTCTTCGTTAGGTCGAGTATCTCGTCGTAGCAGTCGATGATGAGAGCAAAAAGGCCCGCTTGTCTCTCGCTCAGGCCGATATCCTCAAGTCGCTCGCTGAGGACGAAGCATCATGGAAAGAGGGAACTTCCCCTCTGTCTCAGAATAAGGAACAGTGAGTTGGGACTAGGGTTTTGGAAACACGAGAAGAGAATCTCTGACGGATCTTAGTGAGGGCGAGGAGCCACCTCATTTCCACCCTGAATTTGGCCGATTCATGCTGGAAGCCACTCCCGGTAAGCCCTGGGGCATCGACTTCAAGGATCTACTGAAAGTAGAGTCCAACATGAAGTGGCGGTAAGTTTTCGGTTTTCCCGGGCAAGTAATGACGTCTCTGATGGACGTATAATAGGCGTGAGGTTGCAAAGGCTCACATGGCACCAAATGAGAGTCCTATCACCCTCACCACATTCCCTCGTCTGGGGACAAAAGACGACTATATTCAGCCTTATTATCCCCCATCGGGTCCCGCATTGCGATCTCAGTTTGTTCCCGACGAAATCGCTAACCCCCACATCCGATTTCCAACCTTGGCGGCCAACATAAGATCAAGGAGAGGCCGGAAAATCGAGCTGAATGTGCCAGTTTATAAGGACAAAAATACGCCTGAACCCTTTTTGGATCCAACAGTGGACTATGACCTCCACAACTGGCCCGAGGATGATGATGTCCGAAATGGCGCGGCTAAGGAGGGTCATGTTTACATGGATGCCATGGCTTTCGGCATGGGGAGTTGCTGTCTCCAGATAACTTTTCAAGCGAAGAACATGACGGAAGGGAGAAAGTTGTACGATCAACTTAGTCCGCTGGGGCCTATCCTTTTGGCTCTCACTGCCGCCACTCCGATATACAAGGGTTTCCTCGTCGATACAGATGTCCGTTGGAATCAGATCAGTGGAGCTGTTGATGACCGGACACGGGAGGAGCTTGGTGAACTTGTAAGATTCCGCTCTTCTGTGTTGTTTGTTCCTCAGTTTCAAGAACGGTATTAACACCATGCAGCCCCTGAAGAATGATAGATGGAGGATCCCCAAATCCCGATATGCTTCGAACTCGACTTATATCTCACAAGATCCTAGATTACGAAAAGAATATCTGGATCCCGATCTTATCGTTGATCAAGACATCAAGAAGCGATTGATGGATGACGGCATGGATGATCTTTTGGCGACACATTTCGCGCACCTATTTATTCGTGATCCACTGGTTATATTCTCGGAAGACCTCGAGGAGCTGGATTTGAACAAAGCAGATCACTTTGAGAACCTGCAGTCGACCAATTGGCAGCATATGCGTTTCAAGCCGCCACCGCCTGACAAGGATGACATCGGCTGGCGAGTTGAATTCCGATCCATGGAAATCCAGATGACCGACTTTGAGAACGCCGCCTTTAGCATCTTCATCGTGCTTGTCACCCGTGCGATCTTGAGTTTCGATCTCAATTTCTACATCCCGATCCAGCGTACGACAGAGAACATGGAAACTGCGCACCTTCGAAATGCAGTGTTGGAACAAAAGTTCTACTTCCGCAAAGACCCATTCTCTCGTCGCAGACCGAACCAGCAATCGCCAGGTGGCAGCAATGTCTCCTCTACGACATCCTCTGCTCATAACACGCCACCTCCATCGCCACCACTACACCCGGTGGAGTCTGAGTATGATCTAATGACAATTTCCGATATTATCAACGGTTCCCCTGATGGATCATTCCCTGGATTGATCCCGCTCGTCGAATCTTATTTGAACAGTGTCAACGTGGATGTTGAGACGCGGTGTTCTCTAGCCAGCTACCTTGACTTAATACGTAAGCGTGCGAACGGTACCCTTTGGACTGGAGCCAAATGGATCCGCGAGTTTGTTGCGTCGCATCCTGGGTATAAGCATGACAGTGCCGTATCCGAGGAGATTTGCTACGACTTGGTGAAGGCTGTGGATGAGATGACTGTCAAAGAAGGCAAACACGGTACAGTTGGGTGGGAGCTCCTCAGAGGCAAGAAGAATTAGATGGCCGAAGACGAAACTTGTTGCATATAGATGTAGATAGCGTGCTCCTCATATTCTTCTACAGTGAAGTGAACATAATTAGAACTTCCTTGTCAGCTGATTGAAATGGTAAGTCCTGGAGGACATCCAAGCATAGTTATTAGACAATAATTTCAAAATTTATCTTCGTGGTGCTTCGTTGATGGTAAGCCTTTAACATTCGTCAATGTGCCGCGCAAAAGGGCCGCGGCTGACTGCCATGTGATTCATCAATCAACTATGATTTCGACTTCCCTATCTTGATTTATTCCAAACACACTCCCGTTCCTCCAAAGGCCCAAACTCCCCATTTCCGTCATTCAGGCATCTTTCACTCCTGGCCACTATGGCAACAACGTCTTCTCTTCCTCCGTTGGCTGCCGACATGAATCCGCCAGCCCTGTCACTTTCCATACACCGTTGACTTTATGAAGAACGAAAAGCTCAACGCCCACATGATGCACGACCCCATTGACCTTTGCCCGAAAAGGTGCCCATACTGCAGCCATGTTTCCGGGCGAATATACCTTCACCTCTGGATCCCAGATGCGCTCGTCGATTTCGTCCTGAATCCGTGTCACTTGCTCCACGAAAGCTCCAATGGTACAAAAGCGAGGGAGGGTGGGGGATGGTGGCCAAACAGACATTCCTCCTGCCCGAACACAGCATTTCTCGAAGTCAACCGGGTTTTTGGTCCTCAGTGCAGCTAAAAATCCATGAATGACGGCCATGACAGAATCAACTTCGTCGGAAGGCTCGGGCAAGCCTGCCAGGGGGACCGCCTGGTTTGGTATTATCCAATGCATACTTGATGCCTTCAAAGAGTATTTTTGAGGAATCGTGTCGAAAGATTTGTGGACACTGCTTCACTCGTCATAAAAGCTGGATTTTGATGAAAGGAACCCCGTCTTCACTTGCGCACCTGGAGAAATCCAGACGGAGTCCAGGATTCAGTATGTTCCTCCCCTTTGCCCCAGTGTACTGGCATGATATGCAGTTTACTGATGTGACAAATAACCAGGATACGAGTCATCGAAAGCCTTTGTCTTTTATGTATCTGACAGATAGAGCAGAAACTGGCAATCAGGCATGGTTTATTGAAAAAGACACTGCATATTTTCAGGCGGCATTCGAAACAAAGGCTTAAGAAAAGGCCTGTAGTGGCAATACTCTGATATAAGACCAACGAGCCAGCTGAACGTGTTACCGTTACAATGCCAATGATGGGCTTGTGCCACGAGTATACCCTTCGCTCCCGTCAGTGCGTGAGAGGGCCATGGGAAGCTTTTGCAAGCTCCTGATAGCATCTGCCGAAATTTTGGACCGCAAGTTAACGAAGCAGCATAAAATTTTCATGCATAACCACATTCTGCTTTCGCACTATCGGTGTTGGATGGGCCTTTCGGAATCAGGAACAAGAAGAACAGCGTCAGCTCAGCTCATATGCTTGTCCCACAGAACACCATAGCTCACACACCCTTCTTAACATGACCCCTCGTACGACTCTAGCCTTGGTGGAGACGTTCTCGCCTGGGCCCCTTCCTGTCCATGTGCAACAATGAGAAAGCCTTGCACCGGACGAGCTAACCTCTATAAGCAAAGCGATTTCTCGTCGGATGTGATTTACAAAGCCAACCTGTGTCAATGCCATAGCTTAGAGGCTTCTCTTATACCGTTGGTAGAAGACAGGGAGAATTTTGCCTAATAAGAGCCACACAAGTAATTGGGTTATCTCTGAGCCTAAACATGCATTATGCATCTGCCAATTTTGGGCACTGGCGGTCAAGCGACCCGCATGTCGCTTTTCTCTCTGGCGCCTCGTCTGCCATTCCCGTCTTCGACATTACTCTGTATCGCGTCTGCTTCCATGTCGGGTCTGCTTCAGGGTGTAAAAACGATCAGCCTTCGCTCTTTGATTTATATACGATGCACCAGATTTATCTATTGCGCCGGCATGAGGTCAGTCCACATCACCACAAGCTCAGGTGCTCATCCAACCGTCGCATGAAATTACCTTCCGGAAAGGCCCCATACAACTCATGCTCCGGCAAAATAATCGGCTTGTCTACAAATTAAGACTCGGCAATTGGACGTCCTCGATCTGCCATTTTGACGATGAGGTCACTGTGCCAGCTGTGTCCTATGACTCTATAGCTCCACATCTCGGTCGATAATCCTACCAGGAGCGAGTTATGTATGACGGTTGAGCCTTCAATGCCGCGATTCCCCGCACTCCTCACCCCATGCTCTCCCGGCAGAACCCCGGAGACAAACCCCACTAATGCACCAGGTGCAAGCTGGCATGGATTGAATTATCCGGGGTGCATTCATCCTTGTTCCCCACATGTTGGACCCTTTCCTTATAATGGCCGCCCCAGCAAACCCCCAATTGCTGTCGGGCCAGCGCAGATAGCAAATATCTCGTCTGTTTAATGATGCCAAAACTCGCTGTTGCTCTTCTCGCGTTACTTGCCGTGGGCAATGCGGCGCCAACTAAAGTGGCCCGCTCCGCGGCCAGTCCTACGGCCCAGGTTCGCAACGGCACATATGTCGGAGTGGCGAATGCGCATTACCAGCAAGATTTCTTTCTGGGAATGCCGTACGCTCAGCAACCTTTAGGTGACTTGCGATTCACGGTGCCTCAGTCCTTAAATGAAAGCTGGAGCGGAGAGCGCGATGCAAAGGAGTATTCCAGCATCTGTGTAGGGTACGGGGTAAGTGCGCAAAGCCTTTCTGGGCCGGCCCTGGCATATTGGTGTCATCTAATGGGAGTATCTGTTAGACCGATTCAATTTGGTACCCACAGTCCGAAGCGTGTCTGACCTTGAATGTGATCCGCGATTCCTCTGTAAATGAGAACTCGAAGCTGCCCGTGGGCGTATGGATACATGGCGGTGGTTTCTATGAGGGATCCAGTGCTGACCAGCGCTACAACATGTCCGCGATTGTCGCCAACTCCTACAAAATCGGTATGTTCACATATAGGGTTGTGGAGTTATTCTGACTTGTGACACTCGCACTGTAGGGAAACCATTCATTGCAGTCAGCTTAAACTATCGCCTTTCGGCATGGGGCTTCTTGAGCTCCAGTCAAGTCTGGGGCACTGGGAATACCAACCTAGGCATCAGAGACCAGAGGCTAGCACTCCATTGGATTAAGGAGAATATCGCAGCGTTCGGAGGAGACCCAGAGAAGATCACCATCTGGGGCGAGTCCGCCGGAGCGATGTCCGTTGGCTATCACCTTGCAGCATACGGCGGGAGAGACGACGGGCTCTTCCGTGCAGGCATCATGGAATCGGGAGCGACTATTACTGCTAGCCCAGCCAACTATACCGGGTACCAAGCGCTCTATGATGAGCTCGCGGCCCAAGTCGGTTGCTCCAATGTAGTAGATTCGTTGCAGTGCCTGCGCGAAGTACCTTTCGAGAAATTGAACGCTGCTCTCAACACCACAAGTGGCAACTCGGAGTTCAATTTCGGGCCTGTCATTGATGGAGATATCATCAGAGAATGGGGTAGCCTCCAGCTTGACAAGCATGAATTCGTCAAAGTCCCTATTCTTGCAGGTACCAATACCGACGAAGGAACAGCCTTCGGCCCCACGGGTATTAACACGACAGAGGAGTTCTATTCATATCTAACAGGTATGTACGATGATCAGTTGAGATACTGAAAGAACCCCAGGACAGCAATATGGGCTAATCTCACGTGCAGATGGCGAATCTGGATTTCAGCTACCCCCCACGATCGCCCAGGAAATCCTGCAGCTCTACCCCGATGACCCAGCACTGGGTATCCCCGAATTCCTTGGAGACAGTCGAGTCCCGTCCAAAGGCTACCAATGGCGGCGCACTTGTGCATACGCAGGGGACTATGTAATGCATGCCAACCGGCGGCGACAATGTGAGGCGTGGACAGAGACCTCGACGACGGCGTACTGTTATCGATTCAACATGCGTGCGGCCGATGTCCCCATCCTGTCTGGCGCCACTCATTTCGAAGAGGTTGCCTTTGTGTTCAACAACATCGCAGGACTTGGGTACCATTACGGAAAGCCATTCGCAGGGATGCCCGAGTCCTACGTACAGCTAAGCAATTTGATGACCAGCATGTGGGCATCGTTCATCCACGATTTAGATCCTAATTCGGGCATCAAGGACTCCGATGTGCAGTGGCAACCGTACGGGAAGGATCAGCCGGTTGATCTGGTGTTTGATGCGAATGTCACGAGCTACAGCTACATGGAGCCAGACACGTGGCGGAAGGAGGGGATCGACTATATCAATTCCGTGGCCAACGCGTACTGGCGATAAGCTTCATGCTATCGAAAAACACACATGTGATGAGCATGAGAGTTTTTTGCCTTCCGATCGATGTTGCATAAGCCAAGGCAAACAAGGATGGTAGAGGGGGTGCGAGCGCATCCAAGTCGGCCACGGTTGTTGATTGACGGTTCCCTCGTTTAGAGAGCAAATACAGATGCCATACTTATTCAGCGAACCCAGTTTTCCCAATCGGATGGTAGATCGGTTCCGAGTTGTAAAAAAGCAAGATCATACGTAGTTGTTACAAGAGAAAGCAAAGAACCTACAACATAACATAACAGCATTACATGTTTCAAATTACCAAATGCCTGTATGACAAAAACCAAGCAGAGACTACTAGTAGGGCTTCTGGTCGGATGTACCTGCGATGACCTACCTTTACACACGCGTGTGGTGTTCGCCCATTGTACCAAGGCCAAGCCAACGGCCAAGACACGGAAATAACCAAGAGCTAGAACCGCTTTCCCCTCCAAGAATCAAGAAACCCAGGAGGGGAGTAAAAAGAGAATGTGGAAGCGATAAAAGGGGTCTTCTTTTTTTTTGCCATTCCTTTTTCTTTCTTTCCTAGAGAGGGAGGAGAGTCGGCGTTCACTGTCAATCAGCAGAGTGTTCGCCGTCCCGAAGTGGTGTACAGGTTAGTAGTAGACTGTATCCGGACCATCGGGGACATGATTATCATACGATCCATAACCAAGTCCCCGATTGTACTACGGCTTCCAAAACAAGAATGATTGGAAACTAAAATAATCATAATAATAATAATACTAATACTAATAAAAATAATGAATAGAAAAGTAAAGACAAGAAATAAAAAATCCAAGCTCGGCAGGTA